AAGAATGGGCTGAAATCTCAGGAACAGAAAATCTTCTGCAGATATTGGATCAGTTGTTCAAAGCAAGTGACTGAGTACTGGAAAATATAAAGTTAATGAATAATAAAACCAGACCCTCCAAGTCAAACAGAAACAATTGCCAACATACAAATGTAATGTTATGAAGCTGCAATTTTTCATAAGGTTAAACACTTATGATTGCTTATTTACAATATAATCAAGTAAGTAGCAGATATGGATAAGAGAAGACCTGCTGTACAGTGCTAGAGTAACAGCCTGTCAGCTTTAGAAGAGACCTTTAGAAGACTACAAAACAGTCTTTCTTTTAAATGTTACTATTTGAAACAGATTTGCCAACCACTTAAGGTGTGACAAATTTCAATTCTATTTACATTTTACTAAGCAAATAAAGTTAACATTAAAAGAGTTCAACAAAACATCTGGTTAAGTTTCTGTGCCAGCTATAAGGCATTTCACACATTCAGGAAAGCAGGTTTTGGAATGAGATGACTGTACAGTATTGATGTTCACACTTCATTCTTATTCTAAAACTATAGATCAAATTTTCTAGCAGCACAAGTACCCATAATATCTAATAAAATGTTTGAGCAGTGTATAAGCTTGACAAAACCTTCAACTAACCTCCAAGATTCGTAAGTGCTATCAATATTAAAACTAAGCAGTTTAGTCTCTTGCAATCTAGCTAGTTATAGCAAAGTCCTACATTCTGTACAGAAGCAAATTTTTCTGCAACACCACACTCAAAACTTAAGACCATAAACAAAACATTAATGCCCAAAGGAACAGCAAATGAGCCTTCAGCTAATTCACGCCAGCCGGTATCTGTGTAGAAAGGAGTGTAAGTTCTAGACAATAACAAACCATAAAGAAAACTGATTTCAGCTTGCAATCTACCCCCCACCACAGAAACATTCTCTAAAGGATAAAGCTGCATAGTACCGCCAATGAAGATCTCCAAACATGACAGGGAAGCTATAGAAACCCTCCCACTCCCAAAGCACTGTATGAACTCACCATCTGCAGGATTGCACCGTATAAACGCAGGAGAACTTTCCGTGGCTCATCTGCAACTGTCTCAATGGTATCAGGTAGTGAGCACTGAAACAGCATGTTGCTGAGGCCGCCTCTGGAGACACAGAAATAAATTGATTAGCTAACTTGGAAAAGCACACCTTTTGTTTTCAACAGATTAGAGGTGCAGTAAACACCCTTTTGGTGTGATTAACTGGTTTACTCTAACAAGAGAGTTTTCCAACAGTACCAATAACTCACATGAGACTTTGATTAAAAAAATGGCAGCTTCATGCTTCTTAGTACACTTCACCCAGAGCTATTGATCCAAATTACAGCTCAAGCTATTAGCCAATGGATGTAAAATGTAACAATTATGTAGATCTAAGTAAATTATTTTCAGTGATGCTGGAGTCTTGTCAAGATATACTTGGGTGCACAAGCAAAACAATCGCAGAAATAGTTTAAAACCATGCAGCGAATTTAAAACGCCAAATTTTAATTAAGAGCTGCTATCGCTGGGATTGGCAGCTACAAAACTCAGATATAAAGATTTAACCTGAATACTGTGCTATAGCATTGCTGAAGGAAGTCTTACTTCTGCTGTTTTTCTTAGGCACCCATTTTAAATTTTGAATTTTACAATTAAAGCAGTTCTTTATTTGAAATAAGCTGCTCATGTATTTGTCAAATCCAAAATCACAGTCAGTTTCTCTGATCTAGTATCTATCTAGATCAATAAAGCTATTGAAAACAAAATAAATGCTGTGACTTTCTCCTGTAAAAATACTGTTGTAAAAAAACTGTCTATCATCTGAATGACTAAAGCATAGATTTCCCTAGTTTCTATCTTGATGAGATTCTAAGTTTATTGATGTTCTTGCAGCTCTTAAGAACACACATCTACTCAACCCACATTTTCTTTACCGCTTTGCCTTTCTGCATTTTTTTTTATTATGTTCATGAATGAAATTTTCAAGTTTTCCTTTTGCAAGTGATTTTGCCTGTAAAATATAATACCTGCAGTGACCTTGGATTACAAGAATCCACAGCAGATCCAAAATGTAATGGCTAAAATGCAGTTCTCAGTCCTAACTTGACATTCCTTTCAATGCTTTTTCAAATATTCTTCTGGGCTCTTTCAACACAGTGGGGAAGCAGAAAAGACTTTCTGGAAAAAAAAAAAAACTACCAAGAAGGAGACAGGAGCTGGCCTACATATCCAAAGTCAACAACTAAGAAAAAAAGAAATCTCAAGAAAACAGGGTAAAATAGCAGCTGCACAATATGCTTAAGAAAGGAAATAGAAAAGAACCAGGTGGTTTGGCAGGCACCCAAAAAAGGATGTTTAGAGACAAGATATGAAGTAACTTTGAACCATGAAGGTGAACAGGTTGGAAAAAAACCCCAAGAGACAGATGGAAAGGATATCAAAGAAAGAGCAGAGTCAGCTACTCAAACACAATTCAAAAATTGGTTGGTTATACTAACTACACTTCTGGCTTTATCTAAACTGCACTAGACAGATTTTTGTGAAAAAAACATTTGCCACCTTTTCTAAGGCTCTGATAAAAACTTCGGTGAAGATACCAATAATTAAATAGAAGTACTAAGCACACAGAAAAATACTTTACAAGAAATACTGTACTAAAGCTCAAGAATATATGTAGAGTTACAGACTTCAAAAAATGCTCAGCCTGAACAGTGTGTGAAAGCCCAGAAATTTTTGGGTTTTTTTACCAGACAAGCCAAAGTGGAATGTCTTAGTGATGTCAAACTCCATTAAACAGAAGTTTCACTCTAGCATCTGTGGTGTTTAAGTTCACTATAGCATTTAAGACTTCAAAAGTTACCTGGAAAAGTTATCCAGGAAATCCATACAGGAGCATAACAAAAGGCACTGTTCTTCTGAAAGGTCACTTGACTCAACAGCTTGTTTAAAGGTCGAAAGGGCACATCTCACTCATACAGATAAAGCTACCAGCTACTTAACTGACAGCTGTACAAGAACACCATTTTGTAATATTAATGGACACATTGAAGAATGCATACTGACTGAAACCAGAATCAGCAAACCAATATGATGCATCTTCCAGAGATGAAAGTGGTGAGAAGACTTCTGCCAAAAAAATTCCAACTACCAATTAGCATGGCTTTATACATTCTTAAGTTTCAGCTCATCTTCTCTTCTGCCAAATTTAGAAACCACCAAGCCATTCTGAAGTGTTGCTTCACATGAGAGGTTTCCAAGAAATGCAAAGATAACTGTGCTAAAATGTAAGGCTCTAGAAAGTAAGAACCAAAGTCAGCAACACACACTAATACAGATGAAAATTTAATTACGCAACTCAAACTAGGCATATCAGACTAGTCTACTGTTTAGGAATTGTATTGGTTTTTAAAAATTCTCTCCCTTCATTAACTCCTTATGATCTTGTCAAGTGAGGAGAAACAATCTAAAAAACCAAACAATCTAAAAAACCTGCACTGGGTCTCAGTGCATTGCTCATTTTTTCAATACGGCTTTTAAAATAAATTTAGAAATGGGCAAGATGTGTTTTAACCATACTTTCACACATCAGAGCTTTGTCAACTGTGTATGCTCCCTTAGGTACCTAGGGTAGATGTGTGCATGGTTTGCGTAGGACAAAAGTAGAAAGTTGGGAAAGCAAACTGATAACAGTATCCCTTGAAACTGTCCTCGACTCCGTGTTTGATCAAGTAGAAAGATCCGTCTGGAAGATGTGAGACAAGCAGTGCATAAAGGGGAAACTCTGAACTAACATCAGTTTAGTTAGAAGAAAATAAAGATGCTATTTAATTCTGCAAAGAAGGCAAAGATCTCCAACACATGACATCATATGGCTTCCAGAACGTCCCCGATTTACATATTTCTGCTGCCAACGTGCTGAGTCACAAGCACCCGCTACAGTGTGCTGTAGATGACTCACACCGCCGGCACACCGCGTTTACCTGCTGCCTTCTCCGTGCGGAGCAGCCAGGGCCAGCCCCGCAGGGCCCTTTCCCGCGGCAGGGCGCTCGGTGCAGCGGTTTCTGCGGGCTCCATCCCTCCGCCGGCCGGGCTCGGGCCCCTCCCCCGGCGCGGGGCCGAGGCGGGGCCGCCGCGATGCAGCCGCCGCCTGCCCGCACCGCCACCCGCTCCGGGCCGGGGGCGCGGCAGCGCACCTGGCACCGCCCCGCGACCCCCGCACCGCCCCGCCCGCTCCCGCTAAACCCAATTCGGCAGCGACCTAAAATCATACAATGAATTTAAAGACGCAGCCCTTCGCCTCCCCCGCCGGTGTCGGCTCGGACCCGCGGCGCACCCCCGTCCCCGCCCCAAGGCTGGGCCACCTCCCACTCCGCGCTGACCTGATGGGGCTGATGCACAGCTGCTCTTCCCGCAGCCCCCGCCAGGCCCCCGGCAGGAACTCCTTGCACCACAGATACGCCCGGCGCCGCGTCCGGGGGTCGAGCGGCGGCGACTCCTCCTCGAGCGGCGGAGGCAGCGCCGGGGGCGGGGTCGCTCTGCCCGCCACGGTGGGATCCTTCCCCTCGGGGTCGGGGTGAGCCAGTGGTGAGGGCGGCTGACCGGTCGCGGCGGACCCGCGGCCAAGGAGGAGCCCGAGCGGGGACGGGTCGGCGTCGCCGTTGCAGAACTTGGTTTTCATGGCGCAGCGTGGGGGGGGCGCGGCGGCCGTTGGGGCGGCGGGCGGGGGCGGCAGCTCGCGTGCGGCAGCTCGCGTGCGTCCCTCCGCCGTCAGCGCCGGCGGCGAGTGAGCCCCGCGCTCGCGCCCGGCCCCCTTTTTATACGGCGTCTCGGCACGCGGGCCCGCTCGCGCCTCACGCTTCACGACCGTCTGCCTGTGATTGGCTGGAGCCGGCTCTCGGTTCCGCCCTTGGAGCGGGGGTGGGTAGGGAAGGGAGAGGGCGGGCGCGCGCGCCCGGCTCGCGGCCCCTCCGGGCGTCCGTGGCTGGTGCGCGCGCGCGAGGGGAGCGCGAGGCGCTCGCCCACGGGGCGGGGACTGAGCCTGAGGGGAGCGTGAGGGAAGGTGAGAGAGAGAGAGAGGGAGGGAGGGAAGGAACGAAAAAAAGGAGGGAGGGAGAGAGTGGACACCTCACAGTCCTCTGTGCCGTGAGGCTGCTGCCGCTGGGTCCGCGGTGATGCGGTGCTGGATGTACCCGGCACCCCCACAGGCAGGGCTGGCTTTGCTTAGGGCTGCACAACGCGCCGGTGTTATTCACTCCGTGACGTGACGCCAAAATATTTGGGAAATCTCCGTACGGTGCGACGCGGGTCGCGGCAACCAGCATTACGCTTATTTAAAATCCGCTCCTTACTGGAAGTTACCGAGTTCCTTAATTACTGTGTGACGGCTGGATCATGCCCGCATGGAAAACTGGTCTCTCGTGGCTCGGGAGAGGGTTGCGCCTGAACAGAAGGGTAAAGCTACGGGAGCAAGAATGATGTCTACCCGCAGTGCTTTCGAGCTGAGTTACTTATAGTTTTGGCACTGGAAATGCGGTTTCCTGTTTCGGGAAGCGCCAGCGCCTGCCGTGCGGTGCAGCCCCCGGGTGTGGGAGCCGTGATGCCGCAGCCCGCTGGAGGAACCGCGGCTCTCCCGCCCCTCCAGCGGAGCGGCTGCGATTGTCGCCCAACATCTTACATCACCTGTCATAAATGAGCACTAAAGCAATAAATCCCTTCAAGCCTTGAACTACCTCTGCACTTCCCTGATTTTTTTTTTTTTTTCTCCTTTGGCTGTTCACCTTTGATGGTCTTTTTCTGTATATGAGAGAGTTGCGGACTTTTGTAATAAAAGTTGCCATTATCTTGGTGATCATTGTTAAAACTGGGGATTGCTGGGTTGTGAGGGAGTTCCTGATAGGCTCCTTCCCTCATCCTTCCCCAAACTATTTCACCGCACGGGCTGCTCTCTCATTTTGTTGCATGCTACAACTCAGCACTCTAGTGCTGGAAAACCCCCAAGGAAGTTCCTGTGGACTTTCTAGGAAGTGAGAGGAAAGCTCCAGAACTGGCTTTGGAACAGGCTTTGTGCTGGCAAAGCACCTTCAGCACAACCAAAGCTGTTTTGGTTGAGGCATACCAGACTCTAGTTAAGAGGAAGAGTGATGTATGAGTTAGAGAAGCCAAACTGGGACAGAAGAGACAGAGATTTCTTTTCTCTTTATACCTCAGCTCTTCTTTTATGAAATAAAATCCATTGTCTGAGGCACAGATTACGATGCTGAAGAGGAGATATGCAGTTACTGCAGGAGATGGCTACTCAGGGCTGCTGAGGAGTTCTTTCTTTTTCAGTACCCTGCTCAAGTACCTGTCAACAGTACTGATGTTAAATAGCTAAACAGAAAAAAAAATAGGAAGAAGTGATGAAAAGAGCAAAAATATTTGCCTTACACACAGGCCCTTCTGTTTCCAAGTGCTCAAGCTTCACACTGGTTTGTCATGATAGCATTAATAAGAGGACTTGGGTTTTTTCCCTAATTAGAGTTATTTGACTGATTTTTTTCTAGATTGCTATCAGTGTAGAAAGAAAAGGCAGTAAAATCAGATAAAATAAACATTTGTTTTTCCTGGATATAGAGAAAGACAAGAAAACTCCATCTTGTTGCTACTTCCATTTCACTGACAGTTGTCCAAAAGCTTTGCTTCAAAACCTCCAGTAATCTCTTCCAATATATCAGAGAATTAGAAAGGTGATAGGAGAATTATGAACTATTTTTATAACCTTTTTATTACAACACACCTTTTCTTAGTGTAAGTTTAGCTTGGGTTTCAGTCCTTTAATGGTTTCCATGTTGATAAGTATCCTGGATCCATGTGAAGGCCACATGCGTGTTCCCTTTAGACGTTTGCTCTGCTCATGACACCGTTTATTGGTTTCATGCTTTCTTAACAGTGAGCAAGTCACAGCCATTCATTGTTGATTTTGCAAAAAGGGTGTAACTCACTTGAAAACAGTTCACTGTGTTTTCCAGCAAACATGGTCTCTCTCCTGAGGAGCCACAAGAGTGAACAGCACACTAAAGGCAAGAACAAAATACTCCTAAGAGAACTTGTGATCTGCATAAGGTGAATAATCATAAGGGACTGCAGGTTTAGTTGATATGAAGGCAAATAGGTTGATATGAAGGCAATGTTACTTGCCAAAATTATTTTTGTTTCATTATGCCTAAAAGTAAATATTGGTTATTGCTTAAGATTGTGCTCATGTTTACATTGTGGGTAGGAGTTCTTTTAACCACGGTACCCTGCATTGTGCATTTCAAGTGTGGCTGGCTGGAGTGGGCAGGAAGCAATGTGGCACAGGCTTGCTCTGACTAAAATCCTAGGCAGCAGTGCCAGAGATATGAAGTCCGTGGTCTGAGAGCATGATTCAAAACTCAGCAGAGTATGTGGAAAGATAGGAAAAGAAATCTGCTCTTATCTGCTCTTATTTTCTGCTGTTATCCAAGAACCTCCCCATTTTGGCTCAAAGCATTGAGGAGGAGCAATGCATCAGGAATTTATACTTCTCTTCTTCATGCAGCATGCATTGAACAGATAAACAGAATGGCATACTCTCCTTACAGAGCTACTAAGATGGACTTGTCGTAAGTTTTAAGTCCACATTCAAATAAAACAGTTAGGAAAAAAGGAAACAAAACAATTTCTTCTACTTATATGTACAATATTTTTCTGCTCCTGAGGAGGAATCAATTACAATTAAGTAATGCCTGTAATAAAATTTAACAAAACTAAGGCTTCTGCTAACTTAAGAATGTATTGAAACCTAAAAGGCATCAGGAAAAAAAAAAAAAACCTTAAAGAAGAGAATTAAGTACTGAATTAGTGGCTCAGAAGCTCCAAAACTGACTGACTAATTCAAGTCCTGAACTTGGGTTTGTGAAGCCTGATTATATACGTTCTCAGCAGCAAGTGATGTCAGTTTCCATTGTTGTTAGGACCAGTGCAATATCCTATTCCATGGATTAGTCAATCAACCAGCCATCTTCTTCGTAATGAGAAAAGGCAAATGTGTCTTCATGATCCTTATGTTGCATTTTACACCATAGCAACCAAGCTGCATTAGCACACTTTTGTAGCAGATGTGGCTTCTGTATTTATGTTCAACTTTTGCTTCAATCTCATAGGTTAATTTGATGTAGCACCTAATAAATGAGACCTATTAAGAGAATAATTCCTCAGTTGCCTGTATCTCCTGGATAACCTGGCTTTAAAGCCTGTAAAGGAAGTAACTGAGATAAGGAAGGTTAGGCTACAAACACATAATGACTAATTCTGCTGTAAGCAAGGTGCAAGCTGGACTAAGCTCCCCTCTCCTTGTGTGAGCAGAACCTTGAGACTTTGTATGTATGACCTCTGCTGTAAGCAGGGAGGGAGACAAAATTGCTTCTCACAGAAATCTCCTTCCTTTCAGACAGTAAAACACATTTTTTTTCTCTGTAATTTACCTTGCCTTCAACTCCACACCATGACCATGTAATCTGTTACTTCAATGGCTGAACAGAATATAATCGTCAGTGAATCCACTACATCCTTTGAAGTAATGGAGACACTTCTGCAAGTCTTGAAGAAAATGTCTGTATTTCGTTGCCTGTGAATGCAGCCTTAATCATATATTCAATCAGGAAATAGTCAATCATATCTCTTGTCTATGATGGTATAATATGAGCCTTTTGTTAATTTATTAGTTTGTGTAATTCAGTAAAGCTTATTGGAATATTTTTCCCCATTTTTCTGTAAAACTCATATACCTGCAGCAAAGTGAACTACTGTTGGATTGATGCAATTTTATGTGATTTTATTCACACCAATTGCATTGCTACAGGAGATATTTCTTGTTGCTCACAAAAAAGCTAAGTCTACAATTCTGACTCAAAGTGCTCAACTTTCACAAGTCTCTCTCTTTTATTCCAAGCAGCAGCAGATTTTACTGACAAGATCAAATACCATCTAAGGGCAGATCTGCTGCATGGCATAGAGAGAATGACAGAGTGCAGATACTTCTTTCAGCTGAAAGCTTGCAGACATCAAAATAGTAGTTGTTGATAAATTGTTGATTCTTTATGGACCAGTAGCAGGTTGATACTGAATTTGTGAATCCCCTTTCTGAAGCTAAGCTGAGCCCAAGACTTAGACATGGCAACTGTGCAGTTGTTCCAGTCTGGGTGAGAGTTTGGGGTGGTCCTTGAGTCCCTCTGCCTCTTGGCTTACCTCCTCAGCGCACTGCTCCGAAGGGAGCATTTTGCCATAGCAAATTACTCCCAGACTATTCCTACATTCAGGCTGCACTTGGAGTAGGGAAACTGCTTTTGTTTTTCAATTCCTTGATTCTACATCTGGTAAAACACTTGCTGAATTTTAAACAAAAATGAAGACTGCTGTTTCTTATTCCCTGAATCAATGGCCAAAAAAAATGCTACTTTGAAAGACAGGGATTCGGAAGGTTTCTAGGTTTGTAGTTGTGTTAGACACCCAGGTAAGATGCAGCTGCGAGACAGAGGCTGCACAGCTGTCCCCCTTTCCTCTTCCTCAGTGATAGGAAGGGTGATGGGACAGTGGCAGACAATATTCTCCTAGATTTGTGTCTCCAGCAAAAATACTGCATGGAAAAGTAGACAATAAGCAGTCTAGGGAGAACAGGAGAGCATAATATTTCACCCAAAGCCCCTTTGCTTGTCCCTTCCCAAAAGAATTTGCATCTTCTGTGCTTTGACACTGTGGGACAAAGAACTTCAGGACTAAATTTGAGACAATCATAGGTTGTTTTATTTTCCTGCTGTGTTTTTTAGTTTCCGGCACCAAATATTAGCAAAAAACCGAGGTGCAACTTTGACCCTTGTAGTATACCTGCCAGAGCACACAGGGTTAAGGAGGGTAAAGGGGAGGGATTTACCCTAGGCACTACTCGGTATTTGTGTCTCTTGTGAATGCAAGGGGTGTGTTCCACCAGAAAGCAGCCCTAGCAAAAGGATAATATGCTCATTCATTTGCTATGTTGGTCTAAGGTAACCACAGAGACCTACAGCTTGTACAGTGCCAGGTACTCCAAGCAGTACACTAAGATAACATTACCTGGCCCTGGTCCCAGAGAATGACTTTTCCCAGAGTCAAAATGACTAAGCCTTTATTATATTACAAGATACTTAATTTCTTACTGTGCACTAATTTGGGATTATTGAAGAAATATATCTGGGAAACTTTCTTAGGACCTCAGATTTAAAAACCCAGTAGTAATAAGCTAAATATTCTCTTACATCTTTTAACAACTCTAGCCTTGAAAGTCCTGGTTGTGACAACGCCAGCTTCAGATGTAGCTGCAACCCACAGAACAATACATCATGACGTGAGTATCACTTTTAAATACAGGCTCTCCAACATCTGCTTTACTTTTGGATGAGAGTCAAACTCTTCCACTGCCCTATCCCAGCACCACCCCCTCCCCCCCTCCACGATCCCAACAGAGTTCAAGAGTGCAGCCACGAAACCTTTGTCAAACGAGATTCTTGCTGCAACCTCCCTCCCCAGCCTGAGGACTGCACAGAAATCCCCTTGCGAGGGAGTCCCTCCCAGCCTATGCTCAAAGAAGAAGAGTTGCTATAGTAACCAGCTCTCTACCTGCACGGAATTGGCTCTCTCTAGCCTCTTAATCATCTCTGGTTTTATTAGTTCTGAGTGAGAAGCAGCTCGTCAGGTCAGGGCTGTGCTTGGTTCTGCAGGCTGGAGGAATGCGTGGAAGGCACTGGAGGGGGCAGGGGGTCCTCGCCCATCAGGTGGTTGTTGCTTGCTAACTGCCTGCTGAAGAATGTCCTGTGTGAGGGTTGCCAGCACTGTCCTTTTGTGACAGATCCACATGAGCTGCAGAGGGTCAGGCACTTTGCTTCCCCTTCCTGCCCCAGCTTGTGATGGAACCCTACTGCTATCTTGTCCAAGAACACACCTGCAACTTGCCATCTGTAGCCTTCCTTCCACATCCTCTGCAGCCTCACTGGGATAAATTTCAGTGAAAAAAAGAAACTGAATACAGTTTCTTTTCTTTGATAGCACATTTTTGCAACTCTTCCTAAGGTTAAAAATTACCAGAAAACACTGAAAAAATTCGAAACTATACTAAAGTGTATCTTTTCCAATACGTCTGCTGTGGCCAGGCATTAGACTAATAGTTTTCTGTATTATGAATTCCATTGTGGAAGTGTATAGGTGGGAGCCAAACAAACCTGCTGTAAGGAATAACATTCCAGACCCATGGACAAATTGTCTGCACAAGGTCCTCTGTCAGCAAGTGGACTCAGGAGGGTATGATGTGGTGACTAGGGAGGGAGAAAAAAGCCACAAAATTAACTACTGTAGATGTAGTTGTGGCCAATAGTAAAAGGCTGCAGAGATTCATATATGACAGAGCAAGTAGTGCAGGATAACAAGGCACCAGGCACTGTCATTGCTTGTGTTAAATGCTCAGTCTGTGTGCTGTGAAGGGCCCAAAAGCATTGACTGGACAGTGGGACAGACTAGGCAGGAGCAAGCCAACTAGAAGACTTCCTTCTTATGTTCATGTTGCTGCCATTACCATGATAGTAAATGGTCTATATTTAAGTACAACACAATAAAAAGATTCCAGAACACACCCACATCAATATGTTGTTTGAACAACAGCCAGTAATAAAATAGAAATGAGCATACATTTCTAAAATATTTCAAAATTTATTATTGATCCAAATAATGAGGTAAGTCACAGACTAATCTTAGAATGATTTGGACTTCTAAAAGACCTTTTTTCCCTCTCTATTTTTGCTTGTTATGCAACATTTCGCTATGCTAAGCATGCATAGCAATGGACTAATAGCAAGCTGAAAGAACTGATTTGTGATGGAACTTGCAACTCCAGTACTGCTGGTTATTCAAGCATGGTGCAGTTTCCTCCCTATGTTAGGATGTAAAAAGGTGGATTCCAGGTATGGCTTCCAGACACCATAGTTTTGACTCAGGTGCTGATTATACTTAAGCCATTGGCATCACTTTTATGGCATCCTGGCAGCTTCCCATTTAAGACAAAGAATGGTTTCTAGCTGGTTATTTCCTCATGGGCCATTAAACCTCTAGCAGTCAGCATAAGGAGGTGACTGAGGGAAGTTTTGGAATCTTTGGGCAGCCAAGCCTGCAGCAATGGCAGCAGTGGAACTCTGCCTGGGGCAAGACACGTGTTCTAGGCAAGAGCTTCACCTATTTACCTCACTGAGACCCATTTGTTCCTTGCCAGTGATAACAATTAGCACTCTGAGGTTAAAGAAAGGTCATGGAGTTAGAAAATTATTCCAAAAAGACACAGTGTGATTATCATGGAGAACTGACTGCCAAAGACTACGTGGTCACTGGACTTGGAGCACACACGTGGAGGGCAGACAGGGTAAACACAGGAGGGTCACCAGAACAAAGAGATTTGAGCATGTTCTTCATCGCACACATTGATTTTCAAATGCTCTAGCCTGAAACCTAGAAAACTACAGGTCTTGTCTGTTTCACAGTTTCTTAGACTATCTGATGAGATTTAAGTCATATTGCTATTTATAGGAGGAAACACATCACTCTAAATGTTCTGTGCTGATATATATATATATATGTATGAATTCTCTCAAAAGATCAAATAACATTTTTAAAGTCAGTCCTCTGACCTAGTATCTTTGACTAACAATATCTTGTTATTGTACAAGTCTTTAGAGTTTCAATAATCTTTAAATTGCTATATTGGCATAAAATGAGTGGAGTGGATTTTTGTGTGAAACACTCACAATCACACAGATGAATGGGCTTCCTTCAGAAACAGTCACTGATAATGCCTGGGAGGTGAGGGTAAATTTATAGACACACAGAGTGATTTTGTGATATGCCTAAACTACTTAAACGTAACAGCTGTAGACTGGTTTTTGACCCCACAATTAAGTTGACTGTTAATTATTACTAGAATAGTGTTGTACACTACAGAGCTTTTTAATGTGAAATTTTGTAAGTAACTAATTTAATCCTAATTTGTTTCTATTGTGAAACACTCATTATATCAATTACTCATCATAACTAGAAAATCCTGGTCACCAAGAAATTAATCCAGATTAAAACCCTCTGAAAACAGAATGAAACCCACTGCTTCTTTAAACACACAGTTTAAAACACATAGTACTCAGTTACAGGTATTTAACAGATTTATTAAATGCTACATGATAGAATTAATTTCCCCTTTCCATTCTGATGATAACACGTGCCGACTGAATCTACAAATCCGGTTTGTTATGTATTAACCAGTCATCTGGGAATCTGATTGAGTAACACAGCAGTTGTTGCAATACCAAGACTGCCATATAAATCATGCTTGAGTCCTAAGTCAATATTGGTTCAAATATTGATTCCTATGAGAGATAGAGCTGCAGTTGAAGAGGTTACAGGTGCTGACTGAACCACTTCAGAGAGGACTGCTCCCTCCGTGCTCATTTGAGATCAACATCAAAGTGCTTACTTCAGTTTGAATTCATGAGAACAGAGCATTTGCCTTCACTTTTGATACTGACACTCTCTATCAGAACCTAGTTTTGATGTGCTAAAATCAAAGGTATCACATCATGTTTAAGTACTAAGTTATTCAGTTATTTACACTCCAGAGAGATGTAACATCTGGGCAGAGGAGAATGAGACACAAAAAGTTATTTATGGGGCACTAAAAGCAGGAAGGGAGTGGGACATGCAGGTACGTTTTCCTGCTTATAGATTCCTGTATATATTTTACTACACAAAACTAAATGAACAAGCAGAAAAAGGTGTGAAGGAAACATTGAACATCAAAATGAAAAACTGTCTTCAACACTTTGGAAAATAGGAGTCTCGCATCAGTTGGAGGAAGCTCCAAGCAATTGGAAGGGAAAAGGAATGCGGCACCCACTGGTTTTTACTCTTAAAAGAGGTATTGTGAGGCACATCTACACAGGCAATCTCCTCTTCCACTGCAATACAGCAATTTCCCTCACTTAGCCTTGAATCCCAACTGTTCTTCTGAGCAGGAAAAGCTGGATACATTCATAGTTAGATCCTTCTGGATACATTTCACAGAGAGCTAAACGAGAATGAGTTTCTCCAGTCTCTTGGGCACTGCTGTCTTGGCAGGTCCTTAGGCAGCAATTAGAGAAAAGAGCATGTATATTCCATTCCAACCAGTCTGAATCAGTGGACTACGAGTAACATAAGCCAAGTGCTCTAAATCTTCATGTGTTCATGATACTCTTTTTAAGAGTGGCTCTGTAATTGCAGTATTGACTAAACCAGTTGCTAAGAAAAGGAATTATACCACAAAAATGAAGATCCTCTTTTGAGCAATTTAAGATAAGTACATTTACATGAAAACAGCTCAACCTGGCCTACTTCTATCTCTTAGAATAGCTCATTGTTTCTACTATTTAAAGGCACAGAAAATAAATCTATGCATTATCTTGGCTTTCGGACTAACACTGTTTTCTTAATAATATTTGTAACAACTCTGTTGGAATCAATGCTTAGAGCATCACACCACATGAGACATTATATAATTCATAACATTTGGAAATAAATAATCCCTAACTAGTCACTGAATTAAAACTAATTAAAATAATAGAATATCCTCAGCTGGAAGGGACCCATGAGAATCATAAAATCCAACTTCTGACTGCATGCAGAGCAAACTTAAAAAAGACTGAACAATCTAAGCATGTTGCCCAAATGCTTCTTGAATAGTGACAGGCTTGGTGCCATGACCACTTCTCTGGGAACCCTGTTCCAATGCCTGAGCACCCCTTCAATGAAGAACTTTTTTCTAATATCTAACTAGCCTAATAAAACATTCTCTAGGTGCTATCTTTACTGTGATATGCTTTCTACAATGCCATAGCACATAGCAGAAAATTGTTCCTTGAACTCTGTGCAGACTCTCCTTGCCATGAACACATCCCATGCATGCCAAACTGAATACTTTTGGCCTGCAGTATCTGCTGTGGTTGAGTCTCCCTATGCTCCATGGAATAAAGAACAGAGCAAATTCAGCTATCTCTCCATTCCTTCTAATTGCCAATAGTTGTAATACAAAATCCCTACATGTATCATTCCTCAGCACATTGTGCAATTTTAAACCCTTTCCTTACAAATGTAGTTAGCAGATTGCTCTGAACTGCACAATCAGTTTCTTTGTCCACTGGTTGACAAACTACTGCAGTGTTAAGGATAATTTTTGCTATTGCAATCCAAGCTCTGCAACTGAAACAAACATGGTGGTTCCCAGCTCGTTGTAGCCATATTTTTTTCCCCCTATGTCAGTTGCAGGAATTCAGTTTCACA